GTTCAAACTTCTGCTTGTGGCTGCGCATTGCAACGCAGTCTTGATTAGCATGACCTGACTTATGTGACCAGACTGAAGGAGCTAGGGCTCTTTGGTCTGGAGAAGAGACATTGTGGGCCCCGCACTTCAAGAAGGAGGTGGACAGGGTGGAAAGAGTCCAACATAAAGGAACCAAATCAAAGGAATAATCCATTGGGAATCTATTGCATTAGTAAGAGGCTTGGCAGCAGATCAAGGGAAGTAGTTATTCCCCTCTATTCAGTACTGGAGAGGCCACATCTAGAGTCCGTGTCCAGTTCTGCATCCCCCACAACAGAGAGGATGTGAACAAGTTGGAGAGAATCCAGTGGAGGGCAACAAAAACGATTCAGAGGCTGGGACACGTGACTGGTGAGGAGAGGCTGAGGGAACTGGGCTGATTGAGCCTGGAGAAGAGAAGACTGAGGGGGCAATTGAATAGCAGCCTTCAGCGCCCTGAAGGGTCATTCCAAAGAGGATGGAGCTGGACCGTTCTCAGTGGGGGCAGACGACAGAACAAGGAGCAATGGGCTCAAGTTGCAGCAAGGGAAGTTTAAGTTGGATATTAGGAAAAACTCTCTCACTAGGAGGGGGTGAAGCACCGGAACAGGCTCCCCAGAGGGATGGTGGAGTCTCCATCCTTGGAGGTTTTGAAGACCCAGGTAGACAAATCCTTGGCTGGGATGATGTAGTTGGGGCTGGTTCTGCTTTGAGCAGAGGGTTGGAGTAGGTTTGACCTCCTGAGCCCCTTCCAACCTGAATTTTCTATTATACGATTCTATGACTAACTGCATCTCTGGTGGCGTTGGTGCCTTGAAGGTTCCCTGTTTGCTCTTGAAGGAAGGGGTTGGGTAGAGCAGACCCTCAAGGACTCTGTGGCAGGTGGGAGTAATGCCTGAACAGGTCAGGTCAGTGGGGTGAACAGAAACAGGGGTTCAGTCACTGTCTCTCCTCCACCAACCATCCCTTTGGAGGTCTGTGTCTCCTCTCCATCAGGCCTATCTTGTCTTTGAGGACATGAGCCTTGCAAGACCCATGGGATGAAACAGGATGAAACAGTGAGTAGGAACAAGCTGAGCTCTGCTTGCCCGAGGGAGGTATGCTCGGTAGTTGCAGGGCGGCATCTAGCTCTCCCAGGTCCCAACCCATCTCTGTCTGTGGTGTCCATAAGGCACCACCATGGGCTGAGCTAGGATTGTGAAAAGGGCGTGCACATGGGGTGGCCCATCATCACAGCTAACACAGCACAGATGTTTCTCTAGTTAGATAGAAACGAGAAGCTTCACCAAGATGGCGGGGGCCTAGCGCTGTATTTTTTTCAGTTTAAAATCAAAGCAAAACCAAACATAACTTTATCGGCATGTGCACTGATTTCCTAGATTAGCTATTACGCTTAAAAAACACAACAAACTAGGCCCAAAACAAATCAATATAGTAAAAAGAGATTGTTTCATTAGTCCTGGAGTCATTATAGTTAAATGTACATCTCTTCTTCTGGTTCATAAAACAAAATCTCGCTTTCTTGAGCGTCTTGACAGTACTTCCAGTACTTCACTGTCAGTCATTTCTACGCCTGAGTTAAATGTGACCACACCTGATTCAAGGTTTGTAGCTAGAGCTAGAAAACACCAGAAGGGAGATGTTACCCAGAATGGCTAACAGCCATTAATATGACATGCCAGGGGACCCAGCAGTATGTTATTCCATTTAAGATCAAATCAAAAGCAAACATAACTATTGGAATGCATACTAATTAGCTAACTTATATATTAAGTTTAAAAAACATAGGGTCTCGTGCATCTTGTGGTCATTATAATTAATGATATGTCTCTTATTCAAGTTTGTAAAACAGTAAGTTAAAAATTAAGGGTTTTTTTCTGGATTTTGTGGACAGTCACGGATTTTGCAGTTTCTCTGAACTCCGTATAACCACAAATTAAGTACGTCCCTACTCATGATAATTAAATACATGTCTCTTGTTCAGATTTTTAAAACAAAATCTAGTCTTCTTGAGCATCTTGACTGTGCATCCAACACTTCGCTGTCACTCCTTCCCACGCTGGAGCTAGTGTTCCCCTGAGTTAAAGTTATCACACTTGAGTTAAGGGAATGGGCTAGAATTAAAAAGTCCGAGGGGCTTTGAAATAGGAGACATTCCCAGAAACGGCTAATGGATAAATAACAACACTGCAGAAGAAAGGGTAGCTTGAATAGTGGAACATCAAGACCATTAAAAAGCAGAGAGGGTCGTTAACACGTGCGGAGTGGAGAGATTAGCTGAGATGAAGAGGCTGGGCCTTCTGAGTTTGCCAATCCAGGTGACAGCCGAGTCGGCTCCATGAGCGCACCCAAATGATGCGTCTTTATGGTCCTCTTGGTACTCTGCTGTGTTTCCTTCCCTAATTTCTCCCGAAATCTCCTTCAGCTGTGAAAATAAAATGAGCATCATGGAGGTCATGTGATGTCAGACGGCAGCCCCACAAAAGGTGACAGAGATGTGAAACTACCTCTTTGCAAAGGAGCTTGCATGGAAAAGAAACCACAAAGCAGCAAGCACAGGCTGAGCAATCAACACGGGCTGCTGGAGCTGGAAATAAAGCCGGCGAGGCAGAAAAGCAGAAGACCAAAGCAGCTCTGTCATTGCCACAGATGCTATCATAATCCAAAGAGTTACCGCGAATCCCAGAGAGGTTGGGTGGGAAGGGACCTGCAGAGGACACAGAAAGCACAGAGAAGCCAGGCTGGAAGGGGCTGTGAGAGGTCACCTAACTGAACCCCCTGCCCGAGCCTGGATCAGCCCTGTCCAAACCATCCTGTACCAATCCGTCGTTGGACCTCTTCACAAAACTACGCAGTCAGCCCTGATGCAACCCAAGACATCGCACCCGAACCCGCCCCAGGGAAAGCAGAGGGACTGCAGCAGCCAGTGTGCTGTTGCTGTGAAGGCTGTTACTATACACTCAAGAGATCCCAGGAAGAGGCTGTGCCCCCTTTAAAGAGGAAGGCAACCCTCCCCCCCAGTCTGTACCAGTCTGGCTAGGGAGTACAATTTCTCTCGGACCCCAAATGCAGTGTGGGGCTGAGCCTGAGCGCAGGGGCCGGACCCTCCAGCCAAGACCCTGTGGGGTCGGTGCCAGCAGGAGCATTGGCACAGCCCAGCCCCGTCCCCAGCCTGGGCTGCAGCAGCACCCAGCGCCTCTGGGGGAGGCTTAGAAACCCCTGACGCTGTAGCAGAAAGCAGGGGTGGGGGCAGATATTGTCTCACTAGTCCTGGAGTCACAATAGTTAAATGTACGTCTCTTCCTCCGATTCATAAAACAAAATCTCACTTTCCTGAGCATGTTGGTGGGGCCCCCAATACTTCAGTCATTCCTACACCAAGATTTGCTTTTGCAAATGAGCCTGTGCAGTGGGTCTGTGCTTTGTGGCTGCTCCAGCAAGAACATCCCCTGACCTTCCCCATCACGTGGCATGTTATGAGGAAATCACCTACCTCCCTGGAGATGTCATCTGCCCTCATGCCCAACAAGGTGCTCTTGAAGGAGCGGCTGGCTTTTGTTGACGGTGTCAAGGGGCAGACGCCCTGACATGTCTTCGTTTTCAAGGCCCTTTGGCCGGACGTGCGACAGAACCGAGGACTCGGCCGTGTTGGATGAACCGGGCTGGGGGAGAACCCCAAAGAAACGTATGCTGAAGTGAGTCCATTCCCCGAGGCTCATGCCAAGGACTTCTTTGATTTCACTGTTGTTGCTGTAGATCAGAGCCCGGCCACTGAGGTCATGCTTCCTCACTCTCTCCACATATATCTGGAGGTTGTCTTCTTTAAAGCCAAGTGTGGCCATCTGGAAGAAAAGAAAGGAGCATCAATGTGTGCCGCTCCCAAACACAGAAGACATGGTACTAGTTCAGAGGGAAACATGTGCCCAGATACTAAGAGGAGAACAGTGCCCTGTGGTGAGACTCTAGACGTTAGGTGGAAAGCCCCTTAGCTAAAGGCCTGGATCCTTTTGAGGGCTGGGTTTCTGATCCAGCACATATTGAAATGAGGCAGTCGGGCGTTTTAGCCTAATAACACTGTGCAGTAGCACGTCACAGCACAAACCGTGCTCATAGCCGACTCTGCAGTGTTATTAGGCTAATGCGCAGTAAGCATCGACAGATAACCACGCGCTGCACTACTGCGCAGTAACTCTCGTACTGTGCACATAGTTAGTACTTTATTAAGCCAGTACAAAAGTAAATGTGCAGTATCTAAGGTGCATTAATGAACGTGTAGATGTGCCCAAGGAGTAAAACAATGAGCTCGCTGGCTGCTACCACTCAGTGTATTACTACAAGGAAATATCCCCCCTTCATTCTGCCTTTCCAAAGCAAAGGGAGTAGTGTATTCCAGGGGGCATGTTGTACGTAGGAAAGTACAATAATCCCTGTTGCACTTTCAGGCTATCCCAAAACTCCAGGAGAATCATTTGCAGCACGTTTATAAAGGAGCCCCTTGACCAACGAAGTGCATGCAACAGATCAGGCTGATGCGTTCCCCACAGCACATCCAGAATCACTGCCTGCTCCTGCCCTCCTTGAGCCTGCAAAACCCAAGGAGAAACTTTCTAGGATGAACCTGCATGATGGCATTGCTCTTTCGGTATCTCCCAACTCAAGTACCCCAACTCCCTGCCCCATTGGTCTGAATGGGAGCTGTCCCCTGGACCATTCTGCATCACCTACCTCTTTGCAGATGTCATCAACAGACATGGCCAACAAGATGCCCTTGGAGAGGCTACGGGCTTTCTTTGTCCACTTCAGGCTGCGGCTGCCACGTTGCAGCTCCATCTGCCTTTTCAGGGATGAGTCGAGGTTGACGGTGAAGGGCAAGTAGAAGTTGGCATCTTCCACTCGGAACCAGTCATGGATGAAGTTGTAGAAGAGGTCAGGGTCACTGTCCAGCTCCAGCATCTTTTCCATCGGGCCCTTTATCAAGTCAAACTCCTCCATGTACTTCTCGTAAACCTCCCACAGCGGCATGTCAGGAGGGAGCAGATTTTCCTGGCAACCATCCAGGCTGTTTCTCTGCTCCTCATCTTCAAGGCACTGCAAGATCCAGCTCAGGCGACACGGCCACTGGTTGGCCAGGAGCACCCACGCTGCCACCATCTGTGGGAAGACCTTGTCCCTGGAGACTTTCGTCACCATGAGCCTGACAGTGATGCTGATGGTGTTCACAATCCTCTGCATCTGTACGAAGTTGTCCGTCATGTATTTCTTCATGGAGTCCTCCAGGAGGGAATGTAAGGCTTCTTGGATAAGGGTTTTGGTGGCTTTCCTAGCACAGCTGTTGGAGGGCTCCCAGGGGCCATCACTTACGGTAACAAGAGGCACTTGGCTTTCATCTGGGCTTAGGCTCCCTATGCTACGGCTGGCCAAAGAGTCACGAGGTGTCAGTGGTAAGTTGGCTTCTTTCTTGTCCATTGGCCTGATGCCCACCCCCTGCAAGTCCCCCTCTTGTTCCTGTTGGCTTCCAATAATGCTCCGGATAAGGTGCTTCTTGGTGTCGTCATCCATCTTGGGCACCGAAAAAGGCAGGGTGACCATGTGGTTCAAGAACTTGTACCCATTCTTGGCCATGCCACCTGAGCTCCCCACACAGTCAATGATGATGCTAGGGTCCACGGCCAGGATGGAGATGAACGGGGCTGTGTCATCTGCCAGGAGGATGTTCAGGGCATCCAGAATGCCCACCACCTTGCTGGGGCTGCACCGGTCCAGGTTGGTGATCTCCAGCACCACCCGGATCTTCCGCCGCTGGAAGATCTCCATGAACTTCAGGAACTCCGTGATGACCTTGACTTCCCTCTTGACGCAGCTCATGAAGCCCAACTGGGAGCTGAGATCTGTCCGGTTCATCAGTTTTTCCAGCTTGGCCTTCTGGGTATTGATGATATTTCGTATCACCAGGAAGACTGGCTTCACAACAGCTAATGTAGAGATGCCAAGCACTGCTATCCCAATGCTCTCCAGAATTGCTTTCATCATATCTTCCCACGTGTCACCAACAGGAGTCCCAAGCACAAAGAAAAGAAATCCCACTGCTACTACTACGATGGCCAAGACACTCCCAACAGCCCACACTGGGAGGCAAAGATATCTCTTACAAATCCATTTTTTATCCCCACAGCCATCACTGAGGCTACATTTCTGGCCCATAACCCGGTAAACACTGATGGGCAGGAGACCAAAGTGTTTTTGGATGCCATCACACAGGGCAGTGATGAGGCCTGCCCAGAGGTTGTCACTGCCCACATACTCCCAGGCGCTGAAGTGGATGAAGACGTGCTGGATGTTCCTCCTTTCCTTATGCTGCTCCGTCAGGACCGGGCGGTAGAGGATCATGTGCAGGAGGACGCTGAGCAGGTCCCAGCTGGAATTCCCCCGCTGCCTTTGCCCCGTCCGCTGGAAGTCCCGCTCATCTTTCTTCCTTGACTTCTCCTGCAAAATGTCTGAGAGGGGAGAAGAAAGAAGGACTAAAATCTTTCCTCCCATCAGGCTGGAAAGATTGGGAAGTAGGACTGATGAGCAAAGGCTGCAAGAACTAGGACTGTTTAGTGAGGGGAAAAGACGACTCAAGGGGGATTTGATTACAGACTTCAACTACCTCTACTCCTGCCTCGCAAGGAGTGTTCCTACCAGAGAGGTGGGGAGTCTCCATCCCTGGATACAGTCAAGAGCAGGTTGATAGTCTGTGGCTGGGATGGTTTAGTCAGTGCCGATCCTCTCATGAGCAGGGCACCGGGCTAGAACAGACCTCATGAGGTCCCTTCCAGCTTGACTTTCCCATAATCTCTAGATGATAATTCAGCCCCCACCAGAAGGCTTCACAGATGACCAGCTCTTTGGAGAAGTCCACCCTCTTCCCATTCACCCCCCTGCATGCCAGCCCCCGTGGCAATACTCACTGCGCAAAATCGTGATCTTCTGGGAAATCCCATATCCCCACGGCGCATAAAACCCAACGATGGCAGGAGTGGGAACGTGGTACAGGGCTTTGGCTAAGGACTGGCTGTAGACATCCTCGATGGACTGGGTTTCTGCAACGGGAGCCAGAGAGAAGAGACGGCAGAGTCAGCCAGAGCCCTGGGATCTTCCACCCCAGGACTTGCGGTGGCTGGGCAGTAGATGGCACTGTGGACTGCACAGGCACCGACAGGTACTCCAAAACTGCAGGTTTAGCCATGCAATTGAGGGATCATGGGCACTGGCATCACCCAGCGCAGTGGTTTTCAACCTGTTTAGACTCCAGGCCCCCATCACTAACGCCAGCTCTGCACTTTCACTTGAGTTTGACCGTGAAAAAATACCGGAGCGATTCTTTTGCTGCAGAGAGCTCAGCAGCCCCTCGGCAGGGAAGGATGGTTTGGACCGTCTGGATTCCTATAGGAAGTCTCTGGGTTTATCTTGTGAGCTCCCTGGCTGGGGGCTCCTTGAATGCTCCTGGCAATGGCGCTCTCGCCGGTGGTAACCTGCATGGGCTGGTTTGCAGCTGATACCGGGACCCAGCTCCCATAGCCAAGCACCCCCTCAGGGACCTGGGAGATGGCTCCATCCCTAGCCAGCAAGCTCAATGCACATTTATTACCTCGGGCAGGGGAGACCATCGCACGGGTTAGCTCTGTGGCACGAAAGGGCTGAAGGGCACCAAGCAACCAGCTCTCTAGGGAAGACAAACAAACAGGGCATGGAGGTGTTACCCAGAGATCCCTGAGCAGGTCTCACTGCCAAAAGTCTCCCACCCAACGCAGGTCAAGCTCAACCCCTGCCCATCTCCCGACTTTCTATGATGTTATGATCTCCAGCACCAGGTAGGCTGGGACGGGCACTTTCCGGTATTGCACTGAACCCAGTTTTCACTGGAAACCTTTCACTCCACCTTCACCTCCCGTTGATTGAAGCCTTCTGGTGAACGTCCTCCCAGACCACCTCAAACCCACTCCCCGCCATTGACCTTGCTATAAAACACTCAAGAACTCAGGGCCTAGAGGTTTGGAGCTGTGGTAGCCATGCAGAGAGAGAGCTGAAGAAAGGAAGAGCACCCAGGTACACGGTGAGGGACCACGAGCCACATCTAGATAGAAGAATGACTTACATATCTGCTGGCACCAGCGAGGGTCCGTGTCTGGTCCTTCTTCCAAAGGAAGAGGCTGTTGCATGGAAAGATCACCGTAGAGCACCACTCGCCGAGCGCTCCCGGCTCATTAGATAGGCCACCCAACCTGTCTGGGCGGATCTCAGCGGGGCGGCCTGCCTGGCTCTGAGATGTGTCAGGAACAATAACATCCTCAACCCCTACCGCCGGATGGCGGGCAGAGCTGTGTTACTGGCAGAAGTCAGGGGCAAGGCTGGGGAATTGCCTGTGGTACCTCCTTCCCGCTCGCAGCACAGTCAGCGCAAGGGAGCTTATTCCACCCTGTGCACTGGGTGCTCTGCTCTCACCAGGGCGGATCCAGGGGTGCGCCCTTGATTTCCAGTCCAGCCAAACTTTAAAACCATTTGCCTGGTGGTAGCGGCAGGCTAAGGGACGTCAGTTGATTCGGGGCTCGGCGTCATCTGCCTGATCCCTTCTAAATGCTTCATCCTACAGGTGTTAACGACCCTCTCTCCTTTTTTCATAGAATCCTAGAAAATGAGGGCTGGAAGGGACCTCGGGGGGCTCGCATCTAGTCCAACCCCTGCTCCAAGCAGGACCAGCCCCAACTACATCATCCCAGCCGAGCCTTTGTCCAGCAGGGTCTTAAACATCTCCAAGGATGGAGAATGCACCACCTCTCTGGGGAGCCTCTTCCAGTGCTTCACCACCCTCGTAGTGAGAAAGTTTTCCCTACTATCCAACCTCAACTTTCCCTGCTGCAGCTTGAGCCCATTGCTCCTTGTCCTGTCATCTGCCCCCACTGAGACCAGCCCAGCTCCATCCTCTCTGCAGCCCCCCGGCAGGGAGGTGAAGGCTGCTATTCAATCCCCACTCAGTCATGCCCCAGCTACAGAGGAAGGGGCCACCCCCTGCTCTCCCAGTTCACACCAATCTAACCCTGGTTGCAGGGCAAGACCCTCTAGCTAGGACCTTCCAGGGTTGAGTCCCAGCAGGAGCATTGGCGCAGCCTAGTCCCCATCCCCAGCCTGGGCTGCAGCAGTACCCAGTGCCTCTGGGGGAGGCTTCAAACCCCGCTGATACCTGTAGCAGTAGGGCAGGGTGCGGGCAGGACTTCACTGGGCCAAAGTTAGCCTCAAGATGCTACAAACCTTTGCTTACCTATTGCAGCCTGGTGCCCTCGACTTCTGACGTGAAGAGCTGATTGGGAGGAAGCAGGACACCCAAGAAGCAAAACACAAAGGTCAGAGGTTATTTCCTTGTCTCAGTCCTCACCTCGGTGCCAAGCCAGGTGCCCCAAACTCTCCATAATCTCTTGCATTAGAACCTCCTCAAAGACACTTGAGGGACCGCAACGCCTGCTCTTTCTGAGGCCAGTTCCAGCAAGGGCAGCCCCGTAGGAATTAGACCCTTGATCCTGCACTTCTTGCCCATCCGTTCATTAATAAAGTGAGGGAAAGAAGCATCCTGTGATCTGCCGGGAGTGGGGTTCCCAGTGAGAGGGACCTAGATTGGGTCTTCTTGGCAAGTAGAAGTCACCTGGATGGTTCGTAGCGAGTTCCAAGGCCCCGTCTTCCCCGCTATGATTCAATTCCCAGAAAGAGGTGAAATGTGGCTTTCCAAAGCTCAGCCTTTTTATTCCATTGGAACAAGTTTGACCGACTGGAATAACCTTCTTCCAACCCTGACTGGTGGGGTGGTTACTCCCCTTTTAAGCAGACCCCCAGCAGTATAAATCCATCTTCTATTTGTAACACTTATATTATAGTTTGCAAATGACTTCCTATAACCCCTTCCCTCCCGTACCGTCTCTTCAGCCTGCTCTTCCAGGCAGTAATATTTGGGCCAAGATAAACACAAGGGGTCAAGCTGGTAACTCCGAGCCTGGTCAAAGCCACAAAACATTCAGGGGTGGAGGTTGTAGCCGTGTTGGTCTAAGGACACAGGCAGACAAGGTTCTTTGGGTGAATCTGATCTCTTTTATTGGACCAACCTAAATAGTTGGAAAACAATTTTTAAGCAAGCTTTTGGGTTCAAAAGCCCTTCGTCAAGTTAAGACTTCCTTAGCCTGACTTCGGGATTTTGCTTTCGGGTTCAAAAACACTTCATCAGGCTAAGACTTCCTAAGCCTGACGAAGGGTTTTTGAACCTGAAGGCTTGCTTAAAAATTGTTTTCCAACTGTTTAAGTTGGTCTAATAAAAGATACCAGATTCACCCAAAGAACCTCGTCTGCCTACAAAACATTCAGGACCTTTATAAGCCAGCACAGTAAAATCCAGGAAGACAAACATAGACACACAAATATCACTTGGACCGAGTCACAGCCTGCTGCTAACTCAAAAGCAGGTGATTACGCTGTCGCAAGGGGCAGGCCATCATTTCTAAACCATGAATAGGTCATGGGCCGGCCCAGTCTGGGTGTACACAACACACTTCCCCAGATCCAGCCTATCGATACCTCTGGAAAACGTGACTTGGCTTGCCAGTATTCCCAGTTTGCGCCATCTTCCAGTTTCATCACAGCAGTGCGGGACAAGGAGATGACACCTCTCTGCCCCGCCAAAGAGAAAGCATTGCTCAAGAAGACGTGCCGTGACACAAACAGGACAAACGACATGGATCACAAGAACTGAGCTGGCACGGGGTGGTGCCCCCTCCCCACATCCTGCCCCAGGACAAAGGGGCTGTTAGTGTTTCAGCTGCTTGCAGGGTAATTTGAAGCAGAGCGGACCAGCATGGGAGACACCACAAGCCACAGGCTGCCACTGCCATGGACCCTTTGGTGCGACTCTGTGTTGGGGACCATGCCCCCCAGTGAAGCTCCAGCAGCCCCGTGGAGACTCTGACTTGCTCTGTGATGGGGACTGGATACCCCAGAAGAGTCTCCAAGTGGGTTTCTTACTGTCCTTACTCTAGTACCCCCTGCGGGACAGGAGCTAGGACAGCTAAGGGCATCAGCTCTGTCTGATCTCTCCTCCAGGGAGGGACCCAGTGGTACACCTGCGCCCTGCTTTCCTGCCCCGGGCCACGGCATTTGGGGTGTGGACACACCGTGGATTTCTAAAGGGGCATCGTGATACTTTCAAACAAAAGACCACAACGGGGCAAAGCTCTGGATCAAGTAGAAATCTCCGGGTTTAATCCCCTGTGTCACACCTAGGTGTTTGCAAGCCTCCTGGTGCTGATGTTGTGCAGCCCCCACTTAAAAGATCTCCCAGTTGAGAACCACAACCATGAAGGGTCTCGTGCGAGAGACAAGGATGTTTGGGGGCAATATCTTTTAATTCGACCAATTGGATGGTTGGGATAAAGTTTGAATGAAAAGTTTGTGCTATAGAAAAAAAGAGATACCGAGAGAGAGATCAATCGATCTACTCACGGTTAGCCTATAAGGTGCAAATCTACCCTGCCTTCTGCTTAACTTCAGACTAACACAGCACACTACGTCTCTCTGGGACAAAGTCAGACGAGCTTTCAAACCCAAGGCATTCCTCACTCTTCATTGTGACAGCTCACCTAACTTTATCCCTACCATACAGCTGTTCCAATAAAAGATATTGCCTACCAAAATCCTGGCCTCTTGCTCATTCCTGAACCATCACAGCTACAGCATCACTCCAGTGCTGCTGGAAAAGGATCTTGTGCATTTTTTATCCGTGGATAGACCCGCACGAAAACCTCCCAGGACTTCACTCTGGGACGAAGTCCTGGGACTAAAAGGGGAGCACATAAAAAGTGGAAACAGGGGGAGATCACCAAAGAGGAGTATACCTCCTCTGCTCGCATGTGTTGGGAGGCAGTTAGACGGGCCAAAGCTACCATGGAGCTGAGGATGGCATCCCAAGTAAAGGACAACAAGAAATTGTTTTTTGGATATATAGGGCGTAAAAGGAAGGCCCAGGGAGGAATAGGACCCCTGCTAAATGGGCAGAAACAATTGGTGACGGACGGGGGGACAAGGCTGAACTCCTCAACGAGTTCTTTGCCTCGGTGTTCCTAAGCGAGGGGCACGACAAGTCTCTCACTGGGGTTGTAGAGAGGCAGCAGCAAGGCGCCAGACTGCCACGCGTAGACCCTGAGATGGTGCAGAGTCACTTGGAGGATCTGGATGCCTGTAAGTCGGCAGGCCTGGGTGAGCTCCATCCGAGGGTGCTGAAGGCACTGGCCGACATCATTGCACAGCCACTGGGGGGAATATTTGAACGCTTGTGGCGCACGGGGCAAGTCCCGGAGGACTGGAAAAGGGCCAATGTGGTCCCCATTTTCAAGAAG